ATTCTTTTCTTTACAATAAGGCTTTCAAATAAGTCATAGTTGTACGGCAGTGAAGCATCGGTGTTGAACACTGATGTCATGCTGTCGATGATGATGAGGATGATGATGACACCCCACATACAATCGCCAACAGAAATGCGCAGTGACCATACCTCAAAAGAACTGAAGTTCATTTCGAAAAATCTCACTTGAAAACTTTCCCGCTCGCACTTTTAAATCTGTTTGTAACTACTTGAGGCATCCGAAAAAAACTCACAAAGTTTATCCTAAATTGAATAGGATATTGAAAACCGGGAACAGGTGGATGAAGCGCAAAGAAAACGGCGCTTGACCCCATCTGTGGCAGAAAGGATTGAGGAAAACTTTTCAGTTCGTACCGATTCAAATGAATGCCTTGAGGGTGTCGGAACATCTGGATCCATTGAATACAGGTGTACATACAGACGGAATTTCATGTTGATTTTAAATCCATCGGGTTGGCATTCGGTGCCTGAGAGAGAAGGGTGATGCATACACCTGTTGACACTGAACTTCTTCAGTTTATCATACACACATTCTACGGTACTGACGTCTGATAGGAATTGAAACAACGAATTTTGTTGAACAAAAAACACAATACAACTGATGTTTTTTCACCAAGGTCGTCCGCGATAACCATTTTTGCAGGACCTGACTCCCACAACTATTTGTCACAATGGTATTACCCCTCCCTAAAGAAGTACCATACACGCTTAGTCCTAAAATACTACTCACAAGTCATTCGGGCATTTTTTAGAATTATCTGAGTTGGACCATATATCACAAGGCCCTTAAGTTGTAGCAACCCTTTGCCTTATCGTGTCAACTGAATCATGAGGCGGTCTGTGCAGCACATGCAGTTCTAGAATATCATAAACGAGAGATTCAGTTTAGTCTCTCGTGAAAAACAAATTGATTTGCAAATGAGTGTATTTCTTGAAAACAGTCCAATTTGGGTTCAAGTAGAACATAAGGTTGATGGGAACTCGGGGACTGCGCCTACCTGATGAGCCCGAATTGGAAGGGCGAAACCGGTCGTGGGCTGTCGAAGAGTTTTCAGCAAACTTGTGAGTAGTTTCCTTTATGAAAATATACTGCGATATCTCGAATATCGTGTCAACTGATACATGAGGCGGTCTGTGTGCAGCACCTTCAGTTGTAGAACATCTATACGAGAGATTCAGTTGAGTCTCTCATGAGAACCAAATTCATTTTCGAATAAGTATATTTCTCGAACACTTTTCCTTGTTGTGATCACACAGCTGTGTGTGTTGTACTCGGTTCCTCAGAAACGTTTATCACCGGAAAACAGTCAGGTGCTGTTCTCCGGGATCTTCGTGAAGGCTCTGATACACACAAGCGCAACTGGACGTGGAGATGCAAACAGAGGAATGTGGCACTTTCTGAAAATCAGCTTACTGTACACTTCATCACGAAATATAAATGTGCCCAGATCGATCGGTTATCCAGTGTGTTAACGCTCTTCACCGTTTACTGCACTGGTGCGCAGATATATCCACATGTATCGACATGAAACGCGCTATCAACCGCAATGTAGGGTCTCACACGCTGCCTTTCCTAAGACGTCCTTGAACAGCGCTTGAAGACGAGACACATAGTATGTGTTACACTTTCTTAAACCGTTCAGTCCACGTATCCATTCAATTTTGAACCACAACGTACCCCCTTAATATAAGTACAACACTCAAAAAATTTCATCTTGAAGTAGAGTCTCGCTGGCAGAAAGATGACTACTTTTCAGAGCGTTCTGTTTTCAGCAGAATTGCGAGCACAGAACACTAGAGGAACCATTTTCAGTTAGAATCAGCTTTGAATATCTTCTCGTTTCTTCTTTCAAGTCTACCCACCACATTCCCAGTAGACCATAAGGTTGACGGAAACCCGGGGACTGCGCCTACCTGATGAGCCCGAAGAAGGGCGAAAACGGTCGTGGGCTGTCGACGGATTTTCAGCAACCTTATGAGTAGTACATTGCAAAGATTTTTCTTACTGTTTTTAACGGTCCAATGATCCTTTGATTCGTAAATCAATCATTGTCTTTTCGAAAGTCAGCTGAGTACATCCAGAAACTGAGTTATTTCTCTCAGTGATTTTGCAATCCACATTGTGAAACTGTCATTTTCAGCTTTTTGCGTCCTGAGCGATGATTTGACGAAGGTCTTTGAATACCGCTTTGAAAGCGCGCACTTTATCCTTCATTGTGACTGACATGTGCCCATAGTGAGTGCTTGGGTGTCTTTGAAATCTAAAGGATCGAGGAAGGTCTTTGAATACCGCTTTGAAAGCGCTCACTGTATCCTTCATTGTGGCTGACATGTGCCCATAGTGCGTGCTTGGGCGTCTTTGAAATCTAAAGGATCGATGAATGCTCTTTTTGGGTAACTCATTGCGAGGTGTAAGCATTGTTTATCAGGTAAATGTCAACGGAAGCCACCAGAAAGGATTCCAAAGAAACCCCTGGTTGGGATTTGTGAACAACATTCGTCTGCCTTCCTTGAATTAGGTGTGGTCCGTCTGAGGGAGTACAGAACTCCGTGCTCTATCTGGTGTGCGGCTTTGGGAGGTACAACAGCCGTTTGTTTACCGCGACAAGCGTATTAACAAGCCAGGATGGATGCACGACCTGAAACCCGGTCGGCAACTTGAAACAACAATCAGCTGATGGTAAAGGACTTGTGCCGGTTTCACGTGAACCAGCCTTTAGGCGTGGCTAGCATGTCACGTGTGTGCGCCGGGGCGTGTGAACTTGAGGAAACACATCACGGCAATGACTTTTAACAGTCAAAGTGCGTCTTCGGGCACTGACAGAGATGACCTTCGATCTTTCACTCTGAAATTGTCAGATAAACAGCTGATTTCCATCCGTTAGAATTTGAAGATAAATAACCTCAGGAGTGGAGTTGGGGAAGAACAATGATTTCCCTGAAAGAAACCACTCACAAGTTTGCTGAAAACTCTCGGACAGCCCACGACCGGTTTCGTCCTTCCTATTCCAGCTCATCAGGTAGGCGCATTCCCATAGTTTTCCTTCAGCCGACTTTATGAACCCAAATTGTGCGAACTTCTCAAACGAAATGCACTCACTGGCAAATCAAATTGACGTTGCCGAGAAACCCAGTTGAAATTCTCATCTGCGAATTTCCGTCAACCTTATTTTCTAGTGAAGCACGTCTGTTGCGAGAAACACTAATTTGCGAATTCAACCTGAGACAGCCAAATATTACCTGAATCTGTTGCCCATAATGGTTTCCTCAACTGGAAGCACCGGAGAAGGGCAAAACGTGTAGTTGGCCATCCGGAATGTCAACGACATTACGGGTCGTCTTGAAGGGCATACCAGGATTCGGAATATCGTTCGATCTGAAACACAAAGCAGATTCTGAGCACTACAATTGGTTGACGAATACCAAAATTGAGAGGTGCGTTTGAATCGTTCTATAACGCCAGTTTAATGTGCAAATGAGAGCATCTGGCAACGTGCTCACTCCAAGACTTACAAATGATATTGCCGATTCATCAAGCGATGATATCCTCTGACCGCTCAGCAAACACGCATACATTTTTCTAGCCAAGTCATCATGGAATTGGCCAAATGCAAAAAAGCAAAGTGGATTGAGTGAATGAATGAATGAATGAGTGAATGAATGAATGAATGAATGAATGAATGAATGGATGAATGAATGAATGGATGAATGAGTGAATGAATGAATGAATGAATGAATGAGTGAATGAATGAATGGGTGAGTGTTCTATTTCACTGGTTGACTCAGAGTCAAATATATCGACTGGTTTCCTCCAATCAAGAGTAACATTTTTTTCTACTCTTTAAAAACAGGTTTATTTTGCACTCCTTGTCTTCCCTGTTGTTCACACATTCAATCTTGATACAAGCTAAAACTGAAATACTACTATCGAAATGGTGTTTTGAAACGAAAAATTATTTTTGTTTTTGTTCAAAAAACTATCAATCAAATTTCATCTGTTTGTTCTGGGTGCTTATTTGTCCACATCCAGCACTGGAGTGGCTCAAGAACGCATTTGAAAAAAAACGGTTGACACTTAATCTGATATCCTCGAACAACAACTGTGAAATCTTACCTTCACGCCTTTTTTATGCGTTGTCAAAGCAACCGATCTCATTACTGACTAAGCTGATGTAAAAATGTTTTTTTTTCGCAATAACAGGTTGAATAGACAATTCGCACGAAGAGCAAAATAGCTATCATGGCAACCGCAGAATCGATTCACCGCCTCGCCCATTGTGATTCTGCGGACCCTGATACGGGACAAAGCGTGATGTTTTGTTACTCAGTATGCAGTAGTAACAATACACGTTTTTAATTGACATTTAGTGCTGTCAGTGAAGTCATCCATACGGAAAAGCTGAGAAACACCGAACAGTTGCTCCCTGCCAATTCGGAACCATCCACAATGGGAAGTTGAGCATAGATTGAATTTAATGACAAAACAAAGCCTCAGTTGAAAAGTAATAAAAAATCCTCACGTTGCCAGTGGCCTCTGAGTAGCTCACATGAAGAGTGACTTCACCAGCCGAGTGAAACTACCATCTGAGAAATACACGCATTCGCAAATCAATTTGGTTTCCACAAGAGACTCAACTGAATCTCCCGTTTATGATATTCTACAACTGAGTGTGCTGCACACAGGACGCCTCATGTTTCAGTTGGCACGATATTCGAGATATCGCAGTATATTTTCATAAAGGAAACTACTCGCAAGGTCGCTGAAAACCTTGTAAGTAGTTACCATCTGAGAAGTTGTCACACACCCGAGGAGTCAGTCAATCAACAAGTAACAACGTGATGTAGATCACGTGATTGAAGGATGAGTGACGCTATATCCTGTCTAAAGTCAAGTTGACCACACAGCTGATTAGCCACTCATGGTCGGAGAGTTCAAAGCACCAGACAGGAGGCCGTGGGTTTGAGTCTGCCTGTTGGTGTTTGGTGAAATGCGCACTGCTGATGATTCCCAATTAGAATGAAACAACTGTACAGTGCTGCTTCTTGGATTTTCAACATGGATCGATTTCGCTCAAAAGGCGAAATCTCCACTGAAAATTCCAAAATCTCGCACTCCGTAATTCGGTCTACGTAACTGTATTGTCTCGAGTGAAACGAATATCGACCGCCTGGTGTGCATGGTTAGGAGACTGAGTCAAAGCAATCTGATGGGTAAGGAGAGTACAAAAACAGACACACTGTACTAAGTGGAACTGCCTGTTTAGATGCGCTGAATAGTGATCAATATCCTCAACGATTACGGTAGGGTTGTACTGCCCAGTGTTTTTTGCCAGGAAAAAAAGAACACAAAAGACGGAAGAATTAGGAGTTTCCTGGTTGAAGTCGAGTTTGAGGTTCATACGGCCGGATTTCGGATGACCGTCGTTTGGACTGTGACACACCCCAGTTGTACGAATTGTCAAAGACCTTGTACAGTATTGCCCTGCGTGTACCTGCTGAGTCTCGCCAAAAAGGTGGTCAGCCTCCACTAAAGTGTGGAAGGCAACGGCTGGATCTTTTTTTCATTGACAGGCATTTGAGGACTCGAGTCGTGCGCCTTCCTTGCGCGCTTAAACATGCCACTGCTCCAAATCGGTTGCTCTTTGGTCACCATCTTTATCGAGTACGACTCACTGAATATGTGTCCCCTTCAGGGTACGGACAGTGTGTAGCTCCAAGAAGAGAGAGTATACTGACTAATAAGGATAATTAGACTGTACAAACTCGCAACCAGGGCTGTGCTCAAATCGTGAACATGCACACCAACACAGGCTTTGGCAACTAAGTGTATCCGGAGAGAATACTGTACTTGAGGCTTTGTTCGCATCTGGTCTTGACATACTACGCTTCTCAAAGGACGTTTATAAATACGTACGATTAAAGTGCACTCTGAGAAGCATAACGCAAGCGCAAAAGAGATTGCAGGACTCACTGTACTGTGATTAATCATCACGCTAAAATGA